ACAACCTGCAAAGCACACACACAAATCAGCAGTTTTCAGAAACTGTGATCCTAACTTGAGATATCTGAGAATTCTGTTCAGTGAGGGAATGATGATGATAATGAAATGATTATACGATTTGTTAATCATATCATTAAGGTAGACTCCTACCAAAAGTATTAAGTCAAATAGCTGGTATATATTAATGAATAACATCATTATTATCTAAAGTAGCACTCCACATACATACAGATGACAATATGAAAAGGTCTGAAAGGTGCACTGTACAAAGTCTCTTCCTTTTGTAAAGCTTTTTAAAAATACTCAGATTAATGGTATTTTAGAATAGCATTTGTTCTGAATAGTGATTTTAATGTCTGTGGTAATGGCATAATCCCTTAGTTGCTTATGCAATTACATATCCATCTCTTTCAGCTGGTTATAGGTTCTATTCTCATTTTAAGAACTTACATACAGCAAAGAGGTTTTTATTCAGGCCTGGGGTTTTTGTAGTCCAAAAAGTAAATGTATAAGAAATTTTTGTGGCTTTATTCTTTCATTATAAAATAAAATAGACAAACTCTTATTCTCACCTCCTCTGGTTTGGTGCACAGAGACAAAAACCAGCTTGGCATTAAAGTTTCAACTTTCTGTACAGATGTCAGTCAAATTGCATTGACTTATTGTATTTTTCTTTTCCATGGCTCTTTTGGGACATGCAAATATTTAGAATATTCATTAGGTTAAATGCTTACCTGTCCTGCATTTAAGCAAAACTTAAGAAGGATTCTCCCCTCCTTCTGTGAAACTCTGAAATTCTGGGTTTATGTTTAGGTGTTGATACCCATGCATAAAACTTAGTTGTCTATGTAATAGTTCTAATTCTTTTGCATCACTTCATAAATGGTTTTCTTAATAATATATTATCTCAATACACCATCTCATTTGTTCTGTTAGTTGCAGACTTCTAGGAGAGTAGTATTTTCCATTTAGCTGTAGATCTTAATTTTGTTAATTTCTTTTACGTGAAGCTAGTGCACTTTTCAGGATGTTGTGATTTAAAAGTTGATTCCATAAAACAGATGTTGTGTAGGTGCTGCTTGTAGGCAGGAGGTGCAGGGTTGGAAGTTCAAGAGTGTGAAATGTGTTTCCATGCTCAGAAAGTTATTTGTATCAACATCAGAAAGTTCAAAAGATAACTAAAAAAGAGTGTTCATCCAGAAGAGTGTCTATGTGTTGTAGTGTAAGCCTGTAGAAAAGTAGAATGTCACTTGTGCTGACTAGAGGTATAATAGGTAATTAATTTAGTATTTCCCTAAAATATGTTTTCATAGTTTATGTAATCAGTTAAACAGCTTAAAAAATAATTTTTACACATCATCAGCACCACCTAGAACTGACACTAAACCAATGGCAACGTGGTCCACAGTGCACTCAACTACCTACCACATCTGATAGTCATCAGAGTTAGACTGGCTTCTCCTGTGCTTACACATTTTTCTTCCTATCTGAAAAGACAACTGCTAGACCCCTAGCATGTGAGATCAGATCCTGATATGTTCAAATGAATCTACTATCCAGACTCCAATAATAGGTTTACGGTGCATGTACCTTAATACAGTTTGATGAAGAAATCTGGAGTGGTAAAACCTATTTCAAACTACCATACACTCCATAAGGTTATTAAATTCATAGTATCAATCAGATTTTTTTTCCTCAGTGTAAAATATATAAGACTACCTGAATTAGAATTTTATTTCAAACAACTATCATAACAATTAGTATTTTACACTCTCCCATTCTCTCTAATATGCCCACTTAATCACATTATTTTTTACCCACAAGTAAAGTCAGAACTTGGGTAACCATGGAGCACTGCACAAATTCAGTATTTCTGAATGTTTCAAGATGTTGGCTTTTCCTCCACTGCTGCATAAGAAGAACATAATACATTGTTCTAATTTATTTGAAAAAATATTTGCATTTGTGCTGCCAGAGCTAGAATCATTTCTAGTAGCCAACCTGGTGAGTTTAACAGCTAGCAAGAGATTCTCTGCACCATGCTGCACTTTGCAGTGGAAATACAGACATTCTTCACGTTCATATCTGTCCCTATATAATAGGTTTTTGCGTTGCTAGAAAATTCTTTATGCATGGGTGAGGTAAATGGCTTGCTTATATGAATACAGCACACATAGCATCCAGTAGTAATATTCACATTGATTCTAATGGTAAACGCTCAACTCTCTAAATGGTCTTATTCGCTGAGCTAGCCAGTATCATAGAAACAAAGAGCATATGCTCAAGTTGCCTTTTTCTACTTCTTTTACTTGTATTCTCATCAAATATTAAACCATAAGTAACCTCAAAGTTTTATTCTGTAAAGTATTATTTTTACTATTTCTATACTGTGTCTCTCCACAACCACATTTACAGAGATATCTGTAGAATACAACAGTCAAAAACACATCTTGCTGCAAGTTGAGTTTTCTGTTCCCTTGTCAAAGGCTTTCTTAACCTCTCACCCCCAGCAGTGACAGCAACTAGATCGTCACTTGGGGAAAAAAAAACTCATAAAGCAAAATAACGTGCTCTTTTAGCCTTAAAAATAAAACACACACACAAAAAAGCCCCCCAAAAGTGCATCCCTATAGCTGGAGATCAAATCATGCTAACAAAAGGAAAATAGAACAAAAATAAAGAAAATGGAACACATTAGGATGCAGGACACTATCTAGTACTTTGCTGCACTGTGTACTGTGTGACAGGAATTGTCAGCAGGCTGATCAGGCTCACAGTGGAAAAGTACTGTCGGCTTCAGCCGAAGGAAGCAGGATTGCCCAGCTCAGTGGGGCTCTCAAGGCTGTCACTTAGAACTTACCTAATGTTTAGGATTTGCTTTGCAACTCCTATTTGCCACTAGTTTTATGCCTGTACACGTGTAGGGGAAGAAAAAGGACACATTTTTCTCTTAAAACAAATTGATACTAGTTACAAACTTTAGGCTTTTCCCATGGGCACTACCAAATATGTCACAGAACACTTTCTTTAAAGTCATAAAAAGACAGTGCATACTTGTATATATAACAGGTGAGAGAAGTTTTCCATCACTATGTTTCTGAAGTAGTCAGGTGATTTCCAATCCTCTGCCTTCAAGTAGGAGGGCTGTGTCAGCCTCCCTCGTCTTTTCCGAGAGCACGTGTGCACAGAGCACCGAGATGTAACGTCGCACCATACGCAGCATCGGAGCAGGGCTCAGGCACAGGCTCCACACTGCCCTTGCTTTTCCCCCACTAGAGCTGACCTGTGTCTCTGTTCTACAATATCCATATTAGACATATTTTTAATCTAAAGATCAGGTATACAAACATACATCTCATTATTTTTACTGTGTACTGTTTAGACGTCTGCTCTATGCTGTTTTAAATACAAAATTCCTACAGGGAATTCTTAGAAACCCTTGTAATGCAGTAGATCTTTTACTTAACTGAAGTCAGTTAGCAAGCTTTTTAAAACTAATCAGTACTATGTACTTAAATGTATCGGGATACTGTAGTCACAGAGCAGAGTTGATACCATCATTCATTTTTTATTACTTTACATTAGACAAATTGTTCCATCACAGTTCTCTCTCTCATGAAAAAAAAGTAATTTGCATCTCTTTCTGGGAAAGGCAGGATTAGTGTCATCAAACAGTTAGAAATGCTTCTACTCAGAGTCTTTAATTCAATGTAAGATAATTTATCTAGTAAGGAACAACTTCTAAAGACTTAAGAAGTGGCCAGAACATTTTACCCATTAGTAAATGTAACTTCTGCAATATACCTCTTGGAGGGAAACTAGATAAACTTTTAGACATCTTACATTTAAAACTAAGTGATAACTACTCAAAGTCATTGTCTTTGGACTGTTTTTGGTTTTTCTTAATGTGCTGAGAGTGCTAAGAGCCATAAAAAAATAAACAAATGGAATGCCACATTTTTTGAGCGACAGAAGCATTTATAGAAAGAATAAACTCGTGACTAGAAAAGAACAGTGTATGTGTATTATATATATATATATACAGCTACTAAAAGGGGAAGATAACACTGTAAAAAAACTCACCCTGACATTAAAAGTAAACATGGTCTTAATATGCTCATAAAGCAGTGTGTTTTGCCATAAAACCGAGAAAAGAAAACAAAAAACCCAAACAACAGAACTCTGTATTGACCCAAGTACTGTAACCAAACACAACTTGAGTTGGCATCAGACCAGTATTTGGTAGAGCAGAATTGCCAAAATCATATTTTAAATAACTGCATTTGTTGTTGCTCACGAGAAAGATGCCACAGGGAGGCCCAGCTTTTCAAGCCTGCTGCTATTTTTTCATTTGCATAGGAGTGTGATAGTTGCTTGTCAGCATCACAGAGCATGATTCAGCACGACTTCTTCCTAAGGGAACGGCGGACAAAGGCTGGATGAATAGAGGCGTTTTCACACACACTGGCAGAAACCTGCAAAAGTCTTGGCTGAACTCTCTAGGGCTAGCAATGGTCGTTAATCTTTCACTTACATGAGCACTAAAACTCTATTAGTGCTTTTTCACACATGCACACAGTAGCACTCCCAAGCACTTTTGGCATTAGAATTTGTATCGTCTTTTAGGTAGCAAAGAGTATTCCAGCAATCAAAACCTCAGGGTATTTCGCTGCTATTTTATTTCAGATTTTTGTAAGTGTTGTGACATATTTTTTTATTACTCTGACTAAGACATAAGCATGCTAGTGCAGCTCTTTATTGCTACATCTCTCCTGTCCATTAAACCGTACATCTCCTTGAACAATGTCAAAGCTAGTACGTGGAGACTGAAAGCAGAGAATGCTGAGCAGCTGTCCTCTCCTGTCCTGCCTCTGCACCTCTACACACCAGGCACAGCGTCATGCCAGTGTTAGTGTTTCGCAGTCTAAAGCATCAGTTTCATTGCTCTCTATCAGCAACCTGGAATTCAGTTGTCAAGTCTTTCTATGGCAAATTTGCAGGAGAGCTGCTCCCTCTGCTGAGTTTTCTGTCGATCGGCACCGACACCTCATGTCCTTCCTCACCATGCTCGGCCCCAGCCCAGACTGGAATGTGGGACTGTCTGCTGAAGATCTCTGTACCAAGGACTGTGGCTGGGTTCAGAAAGTCGTTCAGGATTTAATACCCTGGGATGCTGGCACAGACAGTGGTGTTACCTATGAGGTATGTGGACTATTTGAAATATATTCAAAACATAAAGTTTACCCTAAAGCAGTGAAAAGAGAAAGTTATTTGATCCATGGTAGTATCATATATGCCTTTATACTACTCTAGTAAAAATTTTGCTTATAATTCTGTCATTTAGGCGCTAACTACAGTTAGTGTTGGTCACTGAGCATTATTATTGATGGGATTATATTAGATTCACCTGGGATATTACTATACTCACTTATTGAATAACTAGAAAAGTTAGTTTCCTCAAAACTAAGCATAAAGGTGTCCAACCCCTTTGATACAGATCTGTGTGCCATCAGCACCACAGCAACTTGAGTCCTATACTGTTTCAACCCAATGCCAACTACTCGGTTTGGCACATAGGACTTAACTATTCCTTACACCTGGGATTGAAACTCTGGACTTCTCATCACTACGACACTCTAATATCATCCATTTTCTCTGTCTCCATCATTCTCTAAGGCTTGGAAGAGATTCACATCATCCTCAGGTAAAGTCCTGGTTTTGACCAAATGAGTTAAATCAAGTTAATGAACTAGTTACGTCTCCGTAGGTGACAAGCATACCTACACTGTGTGTCTATACGTACAGCTGAAGTTAGACAAGGTTAGTCACATCCTCAAATACCTTTTGAGATGGCAGAATATAGCTGTTCTTTTCTTTCACACCTGGTCTCTTTAGAACCTAAGGAATTTTTCTAGTTATAATGCAGCTCTGAAGGCATATTGAATAATCATTTTTACAAATGTAGTTATCTCAACAAGGCATACATCTTATTGTGAACCCAGCTTCAAGTTGAATTCTGATGTGTTAAAGTGCTTCCTGACACAAAAAAATGGTATACATAAAGGTGTCGTGTGTTGTTTATGTATTATATTAGAATTTCCTTATATGGCATTTCACAGAAGTTTTAATATCTGCAGATGATTTTTATTAATAAAAATCACTAGTTTCTTTTTAAATATTCTTTTTTCTTTTTGACTGCAGTCTCCTAACAAACCTACAGTGCCTCAAGAGAAGATCAGACCACTTACAAGCTTAGATCATCCTCAGAGTCCATTTTACGATCCAGAAGGAGGGTCTATCAAGCTGGTAGCCAGAGTTGTCATTGAGCGAATTGCACGCAAGGTATAAAATATATGTCCCTCTATATAAAAAAAATTCCCAGGCAAGCAAAAAACATCACTTGATAAACAAAAAACCCACAATACTACTTCTGTCATTCCCCCAAATCTGCACTCTTTAACCTATCCACAACAAAGGTAACAGCAGAAAAGAAGTAATGTTGTCTTAAAATATTATTTCTCCCACTTCTGGTAATTACTGCAGCTGCTTAATTGGAGATTTATTTTTTTAAGTATACATAGGAATTAGAAGAGAAAAAAAGTGCTGCAGCTGCGACAGTGCCTCACAGTATACTGTTTTAGCCCCTCTCGCTGCATACACATAGGTGTTTTCTGTATCTAATCTCCACAATAATTTCTTTGCAGGGGGAACAATGCAATATCGTACCTGATAACATAGATGATATTGTGGCAGATCTTGCACCAGAAGAAAAAGAAGAAGGTACATTTTAAATTAGTTCATGTTGTACTACTTTATATTTTGTTCCATTCTCCTCTGTCATTTCTAGATAGAGTACAGAAGAAAAAGTCCCGCTCGGTGCCAAAAAGTGATTTAGGTTTTCATCTCTTCTAGTATCTACTATTAGCCTTCCCTTGTGCAGCAAAGAAATTGCATGTATACCTGGAAGATAACAAAACCAGTAAAAATGATAAAAGAGAGAAGCCTTTCAGAGTTCAAGTAAAAAAATAATTTATTTTTTTTTTACATGAAAGTTGGCAATTAGTCTTTTTTTCCTCTGGGACAAAATGGAGAACATAGAATGCAGGAGGAAAGAACGTGTCCTAATAGCATCTAAAATAATCACCAGCCAAGTGAAGAGAAGCAAATGGAAGAGTATTTTTAATGTTCACTGCCTTTTTTTTTTTCCCCTTGTTAGATGATACCCCCGAGACCTGCATATATTCAAACTGGTCCCCATGGTCAGCCTGCAGCTCTTCTACCTGTGAAAAGGGCAAGAGGATGAGGCAAAGAATGCTCAAAGCTCAGCTGGACCTCAGTGTGCCTTGTCCAGATACCCAAGATTTTCAGCCATGCATGGGTCCAGGCTGCAGTGATGAAGGTAAACCAAGAGGAAAGGGTGGAGGAGAAGAACACCTTGAAGGGTTTCCTCTTCCTTAAAAGTTAAAGCTGTTGATTACCATAGCATGATCTGGGTTATGGCAAACAAGACAGTTGCTGAAGAACACAAATTGAAGCTGTCTCTGGTCAGTTCTGCAGATCGTCTGAGTCAGTACATGAAGCTAGCAAAAGTATAAAGGAAAGGAATAGAGTAAGCAATAGAGGAGAGAAGAAAATGTAAGAGGCAGCATAAAAGTGATACTGCACACAAATAGGCAGCTACAGATGTATCAGCAATTGTGTTAATATTAGCAATTGAAATGGTTCTCTGTATTTTAGATGGTTCCACTTGCATGATGTCTGACTGGATTACATGGTCCCCCTGTAGTGTTTCCTGTGGAATGGGAACACGATCTAGAGAGAGATATGTAAAACAATTCCCCGAAGATGGCTCTATGTGCAAAGTGCCTACTGAAGAGACTGAGAAATGTATTGTAAATGAGGAATGTTGTAAGTATTTTATTTAGCTTTGTAAAATCCAGGCAATAGCAGAAGCATTGCCCAAATATTTTTTTTAATATGAGCTCAAAGAGTCAATGATTTTCTCTGTCCATTTTGAACAGCCCCTAGCAGCTGCCTTGTCACTGAATGGGGAGAGTGGGATGAATGCAGTGCTAGCTGTGGCACAGGGATGAAGAGACGACACAGAATGATCAAAATGACTCCTGCTGATGGATCCATGTGCAAGGCAGAAACTACAGAGGCAGAGAAATGCATGATGCCTGAATGCCGTAAGTATCCATGAGTTTATTCGTCTTCTACAAAGAGGGCCATCATTTTTGACATGTTGCTCCTATTACAGTGACACCTGTATATTAGCAAGTCATATCTAAGCAAGTCTAATATATGGAATATGAGGTACATTTGATTATAAGGCTAGAATAAAAGTGTCCTCTCCTTTTAGCCCATGAACAGTTCAGAAATTGAGGTGCTCCTTTTGTTCAGTCAGTCTCACCCTTACTGTGACCATTAACACTGTTTTAAATTTCTTAAGACATGTTAGGATTTTCAACAAAGGCAGAAAGAATTACGTTTAAAAATATTTTTGTTAGATAAAATATGGAAGTATCACATTTTTAGACTCTATCAATTTGACTTCCAGTTCTGTTAACTCCAACAATCCTTTTTTTTTTTTTTAAAGGAGTTAGGTTTGAAACATATTTTCTTAAAATATTTATTCTCCAGAAGCAACTGGGACTCTGCATATATGAGTAAGCGATAGAAAAGGTAGCAAAGAAATAGCATTAAAACCAAGCAAATCTTTCAATTTAATTTAGTGTTTTCTGAGCTGCTTTAGCAAAATCACTGAGTCTGCGATTCGTTTTGTTCAAAGTGACAACAAAGTATAATTGGTTGATGACAGATAAGACATAGTACATTTTCCACCTGTATTATTTTCAGAATACATACTTCTGTAATGTATAACAAGAATTCATTACCTTTTTCTTTTCATATTAGATACCATCCCCTGTCTACTCTCTCCTTGGTCTGAATGGAGTGACTGCAGTGTAACGTGTGGGAAAGGAATGCGAACGCGGCAAAGGATGCTGAAATCTGCTGCCGAGCTTGGAGACTGCAATGAGGAACTGGAACAAGTGGAAAAATGCATGCTGCCCGAATGCCGTAAGTGCAGGAAACTCTCCAGAGCGAGGCCGCTAACGACGTGGGTTGCAGCGTATGGGTCAAATCTCTACCACCATTTTTTAGCATTGTTCCTTAGATGCTTACAACAGTTCTTTTTCTATGACAAATTATATAGAGATAATTACTTCCTGCTTGCCTTTGGTTAGAAACATAAGTATCAAATAATAGCTCTGCTAGAAATGGACTCAGTGTAGCCTCTCAAAATTTGCTGAAAAGACTGGAGGATTATGTTGCATTAGTGCATTTAGGATGTAAAAAATCATTAGGCACATCTTCTTGACCTTATATTTAGATCTCATAGCTTTTGTGTAATATTTCTTATTCTTTGCAGCCATCGACTGTGAACTAACAGAGTGGTCCCAGTGGTCGGAATGCAATACATCATGTGGAAAGGGCCATATGATCAGGACGAGAATGATCAAAATAGAACCACAGTTTGGAGGAACAGCATGCCCAGAAACTGTCCAACGTACAAAATGTCGAGTAAGGAAATGCCTGAGAGGCCCAGGTATGGAAAAAAGGCGGTGGAAAGAGGCCCGGGAGAAGAGGAGAAGTGAACAAGCCAAAAAAAATATAGATAATGACCAGTATCCAGGTGAGCATGAAACTATGTTTGAATATGCTCATGTCTTTTTTTATAGGTCTTTTCTGTACAACAGGAGTTTGCGAGCAGCTCTACTTCACGCTGTGAGAACACTTTTGGCATTTCAGTTTAGGGAACATTTGAGCAATAAAGCAAAGCATAGTCACTTTTGGTGTTTGCCTGTCACCAAACGTATGAAAACTAAGTTTAGGGCACAATGGAGAAAGGCCACGTCCCATCCCCAAGATTATATTAGCTGCTTCACTACAGAGCGCAGAACGTGAAAAATACAGAAATTAGACCTGGCAAAGGATGGACTGCAATTTCTGAAGAATTGAGTAATAATCTTTGAACTTAATAAAAATACTTATTTTTTTCTCAGTTTGTAGGATGAAACCTTGGACTGCTTGGACAGAATGTTCTACACTTTGTGGAGGTGGAATTCAAGAACGCTACATGATGGTAAAGAAGAGGTCCAAAAGTACTCAGTTTACTAGTTGCAAAGACAAAAAGGAGCTAAGAGCGTGTAATGTTCATCCTTGTTAACAAAACACAAGGCTCCCAAGTGATGCACTCTGAGCTAAATGGAAAGTCAACCTTGATTTGGTTTTTAAAACAACAACAAAAAAATATAAAGTGTATATTAGTTTTCATTTTTGCAGTGTGGTTTGCTTTGTAGTCTTGCTGGTGCAAGAAATATATTTTATAAATATTTCCTCACAGATTTATGCTGAGAGTAAATCTTTGGTACTCCAGCCAGCCCTTAATGCATAAAAATAGTAAGTCATTATGAGTCATTTAACTAAAATACAGACATATCTGTGGACATGGAATAGCCATATAGAAATACTACTTGTAAAGACATGGGATGCATGCATATTAACATAACTAAGTTAAAGTGACATGTTTCATATGTGAGAGGATTTCTCTCTCAATTTGATTTTGAAAATCCAAAGCAGTGCCTATGTGATTACACAACTATGCCAAGGAGCAATTTCAGTAATGCTGATTCAATAATATTAAAGATGCATGTTTCTCTTTTTACACTAGAGGGTTAAGCTGACAGTTATAATAATTATCCTATATACTTTTCTTCACATGGATGCTATAGGCCATGTTTCTTTAAAATTTAAAAGAAAATAATTTGTGCAGCTCAATAGTGATGCCTGTCCACTACATAGTCACAGTCAAAACAGCACATAAAAAACAGATGTGAATGTCATAATATATTTAGATGCCGTAATGTTATATTGGGTCTATTCACTGCCTCTCAAAAGGGACACAGAACAAATAGAAAGTGGTCCAAACAGAGTCCCAACAGCTGTGTCACGTCCAGACTTCCATATGAGACACATTAAAATATTAGATTCAGTTTTGTGAGGATGCTAATCACAGGCAGTGAGAAAGAAGTTTATAACATAATGAAAATGGTAGAGAAAAGGTAGATAGGTTCTCGTGCACCCCTTATTGCAGACAAAGGGAAGGGAGCCTATGAAATAAAACAATTACAGCCTCTTAAAAAATTAATTAAAGATTTACACAGGAATATATTTACAGAAGTGCCATTTATGTTTGTTTAGTTGGAGTATAGGAGGATCTAAAAATTACTAAATTTGTGAGGATTACTCATTTTTAGATAATACTAGCCAGGATAAATGTCTTCTCTGAACACGTGAGTGATCAACAAACTGCCTGAGCTTAGAAAATAGCTCCTCACCACTCTAATTGCTATTTTACACTATTTCCTGAGAGTTTAACTCTCATCCCTACACATAATCAGATGCAGGATCAGCAAGACCTTGGGCTTCACTTGGTGTTGGAATAAAAAACTGTCTTGTAAGTTTAGCAATATAACATTAAAAATGAGAGGTGAAGTGATGGGCTACCTTTTGGTCCAGGAAAGGCAGCATACACCTATGTCTCTACCTAAGTAATAACAATGCACTGAAAATGAAGACTGTTGATGCTGAATCTTAAAACAAGCTTGAGAGAAATGAATGGGGAAAAAAATATTTTATAGTCTCTTTAAATTGCATTCAGCAGTTTACTCACTTCCTTAACACTTGGTCACAACCCTGAGAAACTGACACCAGTGTTTAAGTGTCCGCATTTGACATGAACTAGAATCCACCGAGGCTGTTCGACTTCACCGTCGCTACCCTGGGAATCCTCTCGTTACCTCTCTGTACCTGAACGGGCTGGCTGCATTACACCTTAGGGCTTTTCATCATCATTTCTCTACTGAACACTGCAAGAGCTGCTCAGGACTTCCACAGCTGTCACATCCCACCCCCTCAAGGTATTTTACTGCTTTTTAAAGGGTCTGGAATGAAGGGAAGGCTGGGGGAATAATGGAACCAACCACAGTGTTAAGCCTCTCCCACCACTGCTAAATGAAACGGGTGCAAGCCCATAGTGAACCAAACCAGGAGGAAAAAAACAAGCAACACAAAACCGCCAGGTTTAATGCTAAAACCAAACATTCCACATTTTGCACAGCTTGGCTCGTTTAATATTATTAATTAGTTTGCCTCCTTGTGTCTGTTCAAAGATTCTGCAGTTTATATCTCTACAGCACTGTCATTACAGTCTAGCAGAAAGACTGTCCCCAAGTGATGTATTTATGACCTTACTTTGCTACTCTTTCATGATGCCAGAAAACATAGTGGAATGATATAGATGCTGGAAAAGTGACCAGCGAAGCACATTTCAGCTGAAGAAACAGACGGCTGCAGAGAAGGGCTACAGGGGTTTAGTGCCAGGTGCACAGCCAGGGTCGAGTCCAGACCAAATCAAGACACATGCCCCCACACCTATGTGAGCCACCCTTGCTGAGCCTGACAGAGGCTATCCCAGCTGAGGTTCGTCATTCAGAAAAATAATCTTTGAGTAGAGTGGCGCGGCAGGAGCGTGCTGGGTCCATAACCCAGAGGTCGATGGATCAAAACTATCCTCTGCTAATTCAACTTCAGTTTAGGGGGCCGGTTAGCTCGGTCGGTTAGAGTGTGGTACTGATAACACCAAGGTCGCGGGTTCCATCCCCATTTGGTCCCCATGTGTTGCCTGGTCTAGTTGAGAGGCGTCCCTGCCCTTGACAGGGAGGTTGGATTAAATGATCTCTAAGGTCCCTTCCAACCTAAGCCATTCTATGATAAATGTCTGACAGAGTGGTTTCTCTAGGTCTGGATTTGTGAGAGCTTGGGGCAGAGAGAGCAGAAGAAGAAAGTTTCTCCCGGATGGAAAAAACATGCTACGAGTTTATGGACTAAAATTTATCTCCTCAATCCTACCCATGCCTGTTTCTGCAAATAATCAATTAAAACCAGTGCTGTTTTCTCCTTTTCATGCTTGTTTCAGTTCATCAAACTGTTTTGTATTTTAATTACTCCCTTTGCCAAAGGCTACATAGTACAGAAACCCCTTTAGGTATGTAGGAAATACGCAACATCTTTCTGAACGCACCCATAAAATTGTCCATTAAAACAATCTGTCATTCCTTTCACTTTGGTTCTTACTAATTCGATTCTCCATATACTTTTATTTCTTTTAGGAGGCTGTTAAGTGTGATTTCCAGTCATTTCTCTTAGGCTCATTAAAGTTATGATTGTTGGAAAAAAAAAATTCCCACCCTGTTAATACATGCAGTGACAACATAGATTGCAGTGAATCAGAAATGCGTGATCATTCCTGCTTAGGTTCAACTTTTCACACTTTTTCTGTTGAAATGTTTTACAAATCACTTGTCTGTCTTCTAACTTGATACAAAAGAAATATTTAAGCTCGCTACATTTTGTAAAAAAAACCCACCACAAACAAAAACAAATGAAGAAAAATAAGAGGTTGATTTTCTATTAAAAAAAGCACGCTCTGATATACAATATGTAGAAGTACTGCATTGTTACTGTAAACTTTCTAGTCATGTAACACTCAGTGATTATCAGTCAATAAAAATGACAACTGTCACCTCTCTATCTCCTGAATAGTACTGCTGAACTGAAAGCACAGATGTCACTCCAGTTTTGTAGATCTCAACTATCAGATCTTAGTAATGTGTGTATGGGGTTTTTTTCTAACATACAACCTGTAAAAACTTTACACAAAGTTAGGGGCTTAAGAAATGTACAGTAGGACTCTGTGTGTGCAGCATACAATTAAAAAAATAATTGTTTGATTGCATTTTTAGATTTCCTTCATTGTTTTTGTTTGCTGTGGAATTATGAAAAAGCTACCCTGAATATTTCTTACCAAAGTCTTGTGTAGATGTTTTGTAGCTGTCTGGCTAACACATTATTATTATTTTGGAATAAAGACATCTTTACTATGAATTTTGCACTTGTATGAGATTCTGTTCAACTACTACGATTATGTACACCAAAAAACCCCTGCACTTACCAACATAAGGAGTCAAGTCACACTTTTATTCATATTTTAGTCCTGTTCAAGTTAACGGGATATCTAGAGTGAGCTAGATTTTACTACAGCCATTCTTTCCACTTGGAATTTATTTGCATCAATGTTTTCATCAAATAGTTTGTTGTTCTTTAGAAATCACAAGGTAACTTATGATTGTTACTCAGATTACCCCGTATTCCTCTCACGGAAGTTCTGTTGCCGTTGCTGGTTTTTGATAAAAGAGAAACTATTTCAATGCACACATTTTAAAGCCTGGTGATACAAACAGGCTTACAAAAAGACTGAGATTTTTGTCAAACTTTCAACTGATATTCTGTGCTACTAGAAGACTATTGAGGTGCTCTGTGAGTCTAAGTACATCACTGGTAATTACACAGAGAAGTAGAGCAGTTGGGGGAGCCACTCAGCAATGCTGCTGCTGCAGAAACGTGACTGTAAGTACCATCCTACAGCCAGCTAGGAATGACAAATGCATTCATAAAAATACTCTGTTCTAAAACTAAAGCTGGGGTGGACCTAGAGGTGGTTGCCTGGAGATCACAAGCTGGGAGCTGCTTACCCAAAATTGAAGGCAACGTCTGCCCCATTAAAACTCCCTTGGCACTTAGCTGTTTGCTCTCACTAGAAGAATACTCAAGTGTTTACAAGGTGCTGCTTTGAGGCAGATTTGTCAGCGTACAGCAGCATGAGGCACCCAGCACTGCTGCTCGCCTACAGAGTGGACGGGACTGAGCATCCCTGCTCCAGTGGTGCTGGGGAACTCAGAAAGGGACAGAGCCTCTACTGCCAAGCCCTCCCTTCCAATACTCTGCTACAGCATCATGCAACGTTTAGAAGCAGAAAACCAGATTAATTTACCATTCTGTAATCACTGCTCTAGTTTGTTGGTCAAAAGTGAAGTTTCAGCAGAAATTGCTAATCCTTTTATCTTCAAATAAGACCAACAGCACTGAGCCTGTCCAGCTTGAACAGGGCAGCCCCCGCAGTGCAGAGTAACAGCAGTCTGGTCTAGCAGAACAAGTCATCTGGGCACCTTCACATCATGTATAACCAACAGATGGACAGAGATGGACTTTTCTGAAAGACAATTTACAGCATCCATGTGAACCACCTAACTCTTCACAGACAATATGAAGCTAAATGAATTTATGGCGGGATTTAACACTCTGGCACACCAAATGGCAAGACATCAGTCATGATCTTACGGCTCATAAAGCTGTGTCAGACACACTTTTCCTCAGGAGTCACAGAGCACCTAAGTCAGCACAGTGAACATGTGCTCTCTTTAAATGGCAGCCATCCAAGTGAATGCTTGGGATCTACTTGACAGTATGCTTGCTCTAGATTAGGATGTTCTTTGCAGGACCAACACACCTAAACCGTAACCACCACAGCAGAAAGATGATAGGTAGAACAAGCCCTCAAGCGTGATTTGTAATATGAGTAAATTAACTCTCCTAGAGGTATATTTCTGATATAGTTGTTAATGCCACAATATATTGTGATATAGCTATCCTCTTAGCTGCAAACTATAGCATGTGTGTGTGCACACATGTGTATAAATGCATACAAATATATATATAACATGTATATAACAGTGCATGCACACACAGTCACACAATTTGTTAACTTTTTTTACCATTTAGGAAGCAGCATGCAAAATATTAGAGGCAAACAAACAAACAAACCAATCACCAAACAAAAAAACCCAGACTCAAGCAACCAAAAACCACCTTTACCAGTAAATTGAAACATGCTTAAAAATCTCTTGCT